ACCATCTCAGTCGATGAAGATTCATAACCTCATCAACTGATTTACCATCATTCCCTAATACCCTGCGTCTAACCTCGCTATTACTTACCCGGTGATACCAGCAGATGCCAGCAATATTTCTAAGGTATCTGTGGTGAAATACTAGCAGCTTACGAGTATCTTCGACTCTCAATGACCATGTTTCGCCGCCGTAAATTAAAACAGAACGGACTGCCGCGTAGTATACTCGTTTGTTTATTGGTAGACGGATATCTCGTCTTCGCCATAGGTGACTAAGTTGGCAAAAGCCAAACGAGCTTTTCGAATTCGTGCTGAGATTTCGTCAGACACTAAACCATTACGGTGGAGCAGACTTCCAACATAAGTGAAGCGAACGACACGCTTAATTACTTCACTCCCTATCCTTAGTTCAGGTGTTGACGCAGACCAATCCTGAAGCAACAACTTGCATTTAGAGGGAGAGAAGCGCATTCCAAACATTCTGGCATTGTTGCTTAGTGCTACCAGAAGACTCTGCATTTTATCAGCGTCTTAACCAAACAGGACTATATCATCTGCGTATTCTAAGTCGATAAGTGGACCTCCTGGAAGGAGATCAATACCCGAGAATTCAGTCGGCGAGAATGTTATTTCCATCAATAGGTCTATGATGAAGTTGAACAAAAATGGAGAAAGTGGACAGCCTTGACGGACACCACTTGAGGTTGCAAAAGCAGATGACAGTTCGCCATAAGCTCTGACTCAACTAGTGGTGTTCGAGTAAAGAGCCTTCACAAGGTTTGCGTACTTCTGAGGTACGCCTTTCAATGACAGACACTGCCACAGAATCTCGCGGTCCACGGAGTCAAATGCTGCTTTTAAGTCAAGAATTAAATTTTTAATTTGTAAGGAATTACGTATATTGGCTTGCTTACACACTTGTTAAGATCTATCTATTCATACTTGAAGAGGAAAATATGATTAACGGAGACAGAATTAAATTGAATTCTTTTCTTGCACAAATAAAACTTTCGAATAGAACGAAATTTGAAAGAAGTGTTGTTTTTTTCAACTCAAAATACGGTGTATATTGTAGAGTTCCCGTTATTTAACAGATAAGAATCAAGATACTTTCAAATATCAATCAAAAGCAGGATAGTTTTATTCATTATTTATCGATAGGTAAGTAATCAGCTTTAAGTGATACATTGGAATATGAACTTTACTAAGTGTGTTTAAATTTAGTCGCTGCAATATCTTGGTCCGTCTAATTGTAATTAAGATGTTTAATAATAATAAATATATTTTTTGTTATATCCCAATGGGTAGAAAAAATGTATTTCTGACGTTTTGTGACTTAATGTAAGCCACTTCTTTAGAGTGAATAAATAACTGAAAAAAGAAACAAAAATATACTTATTAGTAACTTTCTACCCAACGCTCAACTTATTTGAAACTATCATATCCAACCTAAAAGATTCACAACCTCATCAACTGATTTACCAGTTAACTATGTACCAATTAACCATGGAAAACATCACAGTTGTGTGTTGACTTTTAATTCGTAATCATATCATTAAATTGTAAAATTTTAATAACATGTTGAATTTACCACAGACGCTAAATCTTTCACATCACTTACCATATCTTCATACTCTGGACATTCCTAAGAGGGAAAATAACTCAAGCTTGCAATCAAGATTAAAAAAAATCATAAGTAACTCATGATTTAACTCTTGACTAATGAGATTGAACGCTTAATATGAAGTCACAATAAATACATAAGGAAAACAAGATAAGAATTTTATAGTCACTTGTTTACTTCAAAAAATAATGTTTACAACATAATCTGGTAGATTTAAGTGGGAAAATATGATTTGTGAAGTCAGTCTAGTCAGTAGTTGGTTATTTACCCACTGAAGGCATTTAATGATAATCGGGTGATTTCACGAATTGACAACAGCCAGGGATTTGGACTGTTGGATTCAATCTCTTCCCCCCAAAATAACTTATGGTGAATGGATCAATCTCATGTGAAGTTTTTAATGTGCATGACTGGGAAGTAGCCAGGTGTAAATAATCATTTGTCCAACGGTTCATGGTTTTCAATGATCATTTAGAGGAAGTTAATCAATTATGTAAATTATTATGTAAATTCAAAAAAGCCTCAAAGAAAATAACACTAATCACTTATTGATTTAAATAGTGGAATAATCTCACTCCCTCGGGAATATTTAGTCCCCTCAAAAATGAAATCAAATGAAAAACATTTTCTAACCATTTCTGTTAGTCGAGTAACTTTTAAAAGGCAAATAATTCAAATGAATCAGCAATAAATTGGTAACTAAAGTTGTACCACCAATCTAGATATCACTGATTGATCGATGAGTAGTAATTAATATCACTTTTTTATAATCGTTTATGCTGATCGAATTCTTTGGAGCACTGAGAGCATTATTTTCCTCAAAACTGAATAGGTAACTACTTAACTCGCATTAACAGTTCGTAATATAAACTAAACGGAAGGGAAATAGGATAAAACATGACCTCATGACTCATTAAACATAACTATTAATCAGAAACGATGAATAATTGTTAAGTCACAAGAACCAGGTAATCGAAACAAGAAATAGATTTTTGACTTGTGGATTTTGCACAGAATAAATTTAATTTTACAATTACAACTCACATTTAGCTCATATGAGTTTACGTTCAGGTACCGTCAAAGTTTAATTTCAGATATTAAATTATTACTAGCCAAATGATAAACATTTTATAGGTTGGATATGATAGTTTCAAATAAGTTGAGCGTTGGGTAGAAAGTTACTAATAAGTATATTTTTGTTTCTTTTTTCAGTTATTTATTCACTCTAAAGAAGTGGCTTACATTAAGTCACAAAACGTCAGAAATACATTTTTTCTACCCATTGGGATATAACAAAAAATATATTTATTATTATTAAACATCTTAATTACAATTAGACGGACCAAGATATTGCAGCGACTAAATTTAAACACACTTAGTAAAGTTCATATTCCAATGTATCACTTAAAGCTGATTACTTACCTATCGATAAATAATGAATAAAACTATCCTGCTTTTGATTGATATTTGAAAGTATCTTGATTCTTATCTGTTAAATAACGGGAACTCTACAATATACACCGTATTTTGAGTTGAAAAAAACAACACTTCTTTCAAATTTCGTTCTATTCGAAAGTTTTATTTGTGCAAGAAAAGAATTCAATTTAATTCTGTCTCCGTTAATCATATTTTCCTCTTCAAGTATGAATAGATAGATCTTAACAAGTGTGTAAGCAAGCCAATATACGTAATTCCTTACAAATTAAAAATTTAATTCTTGACTTAAAAGCACCATTTGACTCCGTGGACCGCGAGATTCTGTGGCAGTGTCTGTCATTGAAAGGCGTACCTCAGAAGTACGCAAACCTTGTGAAGGCTCTTTACTCGAACACCACTAGTTGAGTCAGAGCTTATGGCGAACTGTCATCTGCTTTTGCAACCTCAAGTGGTGTCCGTCAAGGCTGTCCACTTTCTCCATTTTTGTTCAACTTCATCATAGACCTATTGATGGAAATAACATTCTCGCCGACTGAATTCTCGGGTATTGATCTCCTTCCAGGAGGTCCACTTATCGACTTAGAATACGCAGATGATATAGTCCTGTTTGGTTAAGACGCTGATAAAATGCAGAGTCTTCTGGTAGCACTAAGCAACAATGCCAGAATGTTTGGAATGCGCTTCTCTCCCTCTAAATGCAAGTTGTTGCTTCAGGATTGGTCTGCGTCAACACCTGAACTAAGGATAGGGAGTGAAGTAATTAAGCGTGTCGTTCGCTTCACTTATGTTGGAAGTCTGCTCCACCGTAATGGTTTAGTGTCTGACGAAATCTCAGCACGAATTCGAAAAGCTCGTTTGGCTTTTGCCAACTTAGTCACCTATGGCGAAGACGAGATATCCGTCTACCAATAAACAAACGAGTATACTACGCGGCAGTCCGTTCTGTTTTAATTTACGGCGGCGAAACATGGTCATTGAGAGTCGAAGATACTCGTAAGCTGCTAGTATTTCACCACAGATACCTTAGAAATATTGCTGGCATCTGCTGGTATCACCGGGTAAGTAATAGCGAGGTTAGACGCAGGGTATTAGGGAATGATGGTAAATCAGTTGATGAGGTTATGAATCTTCATCGACTGAGATGGTTGGGCCACGTGTTACGTATGCCTAAACACTGATTACCACGACGTGCTCTGCTAACCGGCGTTGGAGATGGTTGGAAGAGTGTTAGGGGCGACCAAACAAAAACGTGGCATCAGTGCTTGAAGTCACTAACTTGTGGTCTGTGCAATGTTGGTAGATGCAGATTACTTGGTTGGGGTCCGCGTGACTATCGTAACCAATGGTTGGAGACTCTTGTTGACATGGCTCAGAATCGATCACAATGGCGTCGGTGTATACACTCTCTGTCTTCCCTTAATCTAAGAGATTAAAATCACTTCATATCTTTCTTTCTACGAACTAAATCTTTCTTCCTGTACTATATCCTTATTGCAATCTTTCTTTTATAAATTACCACCTCTGCATTAACTACTTTTATGAATCCGGTGTTGATCTTGTTGTGTCAGTGAGGTATGGCAACGTAGACCGATGCATATATGTGCCTGGTCCTACGTTGTAGCTGAATGACTGACTCAATCTAATCAGTCATTTGTATCAAATGCCAATGTGGAAAGATATTCACTAAATAAATAGATACAATTTATTGATTTTTTTATCATGTTAATAAATTATCATAATCAGGTATATTCAAATAAATCAATTCTGAATTGATTAATTTGAACCATCAGAATTAAAACTAATAATCAATTAATTATTACAATCATCAACAATTATCTGTTGTATACTATCTACACATAGACTTTAGAAGTTATGAATTGGTTCTATTTTATTCACATTTATAAATCAGATAAAAAGACGAATTAATGAATTGATAACGATGAATAGTCTACGATCCGATAATGTAACATCAAATCATCTTGAACATTTTAATAACACAAATGATTTTAAAGATTTTTATACTTCTTTACCTATATCATTATATCCAGAAAATAGTCCAGTCATTATGAAAGATATGTGTAAATCAAGAAAACATATACCGACTACAATAATTGCACCTGATGGTAGGTTCATTGCTCTGTTTTCTGTATTTTTTAAACATATTACAAAGTAATATTAATGCATCGTTTTGTAGCTCCATATTAAGTAATAAGATTTACAGAAGATTAGCAACAGAGTTGCTTTGAATCGATTAATACAAAATGATTAAAATATCCTGTGCTTAGGTACTTTGGATTGTTGTTAAATTTCAGCATAACAGGTTAGAAACTGATACAAGATATATGACATTATGTGTTGCTTGATGGCTCAATAATGAAAATACGGTTGTCAAGAAAGAAAAAATAAATAATATTCTGTCAAACTGTCAATGTTAAGAAAGTAGCGCGTAAATGTATTTGTCTATTACGATCACGTTCATAGCGTGCTAAGTTAAATTATCTAATGAAAGTCTTGAAAACTACCCTTGAAGATGCATTACTCCCTGACTGAAAACCATTACGTTATTGGAAAACTATAACATTTAAATCCAGTTCACATTACAATATCTTCAGAGTATGTTAGTAAAATATCGATATAAAAATATTACTTATTGTTTAACAATTACACTTTTTGTGTTTCTGCATTAGCTAGAAACATGGCTAGCTTTCATTAGAAGATACCCTACTCATTTTTATTTGCTAGAGGCTAAAGTACTGATTTAGATTTAACCTTGAAGTTAAAATCGTCATAATCATTTCAATATGCTTCGAACCTATTAGTGAACTATTTGGATTTTTCAATACTACTATATTCGTTTAAGTAATATTAGTCAAACACTTCATTTTTAGGTTATGTACCGAATTCGCCGATTCGGGTCAAACTGAAACCTTTGGGAAAAAAAGAATCCGTAAGTAATATCATTCATTGATACGATATGGAAATAATATTAATGTGTGTTATGTTGATACGTATTGGTTCGTTTTCATTGAATCAGGGTAGAGTTTATAATGAAATAAATTAATTATAAGCAAACACTTAACAGGTTAAAATAATTTGTAATATTGTTGTAAATGTGTACTTATAGAATAGAAGAAAATTATAGAATTTTACCACAAAACTGTCAAAGTCTATTGATCCACAATTTTTTATTTAGATTAATTTAAACAACTCTTGAAGATCTACAATGAGTAGATAACTAGTATGGGGTTGTGGATATTATTAGGTTTTTTTATTGAGATCATGAACCGATTGATGTCAGACCGTTCATGGAAACCTGGAAGCACGGGACGGCCATTTCGTCCTATTGTGGGACTCCTCACCAGTGCGCATCCACGATCCCGCTCGCCGGATTCGAACCCATGGCCTTCGGTCTCGCGCGGATGCGCAACGCCGAGGAGTCCCACAATAAGACGAAACGACCGTCCAGTGCTTCCACGTTTCCAACGGTGGTCTGACATCAATCGGTCCATGATCTAAATAAAAAAAGAGTAGATAGTTATTCATCTGAAACAAATTGAAATATAAACAGAGTTGGATGGTAGCTTGCACTGAAATTCAGGACGTGGATCTCATTCTATTCAGGACTCGTCAAGCCGATGTATCTGTATCTTAGAGTCGATGTTTATTCTGGCAATCAGTAGCTAATTTGACAACACGTTATTGCTTGAATTAAAAAGTAATGGGTGTGAATACATGAGGGAACATGATTTCTGATATGCAGATACATCCAACTGACCAGTATCAAATAGAGAGAAACGCGTTTCTTAGACTCCACAAGTGAAATGAGACTGATCAATTGTAGTGTTGAATATTCATGGGAAGATCCAAATAACCAATATATCTGAGCATACTATGATTGTTTATATGATAATGTTTGAACACAAACATTTATACCGTCCTCTTACACATCAATCCTCTTCCTTCACATGTAGAGAATTTTGTTTGCTTGTCATTTTGTGTACAATTAAATGGTAATGTAATTATCTACGTTTCCTTACTTGATTTTATTGAACTAATTAATTGTTGATAAACTGACTCATAAAACATACACAATTTTCATTTTAATGACAGGTATTTTTCTCACTGTTTAATGTATGTGGTTTGTGCTTGAGAGTGATTGGTTAGTGTGTAGTGACTAATGTAATGTATTTTTGGTGATTCATACTACATATGGAATTGTGTTGACGAAGTTGCAATGTGTTCACTAGTCCAGGTGACTCGTCGTCGCGTGCACTATGATATAATGCATTACATAAAATAATATAGGAAAGTTCAGTCATTTGGAATTTACTTAGTTATGTAACGTATAATTATCACCGAGTTTTATATGCACAAATAATACCTGTTTTTATTTATTATTCATTGCATTACTAATTTCATGTGAATCAAGTTCGCATTTAATTTACCTTTAATTAGTAAAAAAATATTTAGTATGCATATGTTTTCATAAACAGTTTACATTCTCTTACTGACATAGTAAATGTTTGGTTAAAAAAATGAAGTAGATTCTTGGTGACATAGCGATCAAATTAATTTTCCTCACTACACAATCAATGTAAAATGCAAAACAAACAAACAAACAAACAATGAGCTAAGTCATAAAACCTTTCCGTTTTATGAGTTGTCCATAATCTATATATGAATTTGAGAAGTGTTTTTTTATTATTTAATAGGCATTTAGGAACTACACATTTTAATGTTTACGATGATAAAACAAACTTAATACTGGCTGTCCAAAAAATTATTTCATATTTTTCTATCATATCAATAAAAAGTGATCGAATGAAGTTAAGAATATGTTATAACTAAAATACGGTTCACTGGAACTAGAATCCAGCGAATCATATTTCCAAATTTAGTTAATTCACAGCTCATAACCAGTTAGACGATTTGGACTTCGCACATGACCTAGCTCTCCTATCCCATACACACGAACAAATGCAGATAAAGTCAGCCAGTGTAGCAGCAGTCTCTGAATCAGTAGACCTCAACATACACAAGGGGAAAACCAAGGTCCTCAAATACAACACGGAGAACGTCAATCCAACCACACTTGATGGTGAAACTCTGGAAGATGTAGAATCCTTCACGTACCTGAGAAGCATCATCGATGAACAAGGAGGTTCAGATGCAGACGTAAAGGCGGGGATTGATGAAGCAAGTGTCGCATTGCTACAACTGGACAACATATGCGACTCAAAACAACTTTCAACCAATATTAAAGTCAGAATGTTCAATACGAACATCAGGACAGTGCTACTGTACAGAGCTGAAACTTGGAGAACTACAACAACCATCATCAAGAAGGTACAAGTATTTATAAATAGTTGTCTACACAAGATACTCAACATCCATTGGCTGGTTACCATCAGCAATAGCCTTCTGTGGGAGAGACCAAAAAAGCTTCCAGCTGAAGAGGAAATTAGGAAAAGACGATGGGAATGGATAAGACATACATTACGCAAATCGTCAAACTGCATCACGAGGCAAGCCCCAACTTGTAATTCTGAATAGAAGCAGAAAAGAGGAAGGCCAAAGAACATATTACGTCGGAAAATAGAATCAGATACGAAAAGGATGAATAACAACTTGAAAGAGCTGGAAAGGATTGCCCAGGACAGGGTTGGATGGCGAGTGCTGGTGAGAGGCCTATGCTTCATTGGGAGTAACAGGTGTAAGTAAGTAAGTAAGTAAGTAAGTAAGTAAGTAAGTAAGTAAGTAAGTAAGTAAGTAAGTAAGTAAGTAAGTAAGTAAGTAAGTAAGTAAGTAAGTAAGTAAGTAAGTAAGTAAGTAAGTAAGTAAGTAAGTAAGTAAGTAAGTAAGTAAGTAAGTAAGTAAGTAAGTAAGTAAGTAAGTAAGTAAGTAAGTAAGTAAGTAAGTAAGTAAGTAAGTAAGTAAGTAAGTAAGTAAGTAAGTAAGTAAGTAAGTAAGTAAGTAAGTAAGTAAGTAAGTAAGTAAGTAAGTAAGTAAGTAAGTAAGTAAGTAAGTAAGTAAGTAAGTAAGTAAGTAAGTAAGTAAGTAAGTAAGTAAGTAAGTAAGTAAGTAAGTAAGTAAGTAAGTAAGTAAGTAAGTAAGTAAGTAAGTAAGTAAGTAAGTAAGTAAGTAAGTAATGCGTCGAACTTTGTATGGGATGATGAGTGAGATATCCTTAAAGATTTTAAACTAGAAAGAAGTTGTTGCTCAACTCTTCTTCGTAATCAACTGCCTCTTAGCCAGTGACAGTTTATAATAAAAGTGTCATTTGGAAGTATGAAAATCTCATAACTACCTTAGTAAGTGATCAACTGTTTGTTTAGATTTTGAAAGTAGGTTAATATTTAATTGTCAACTAAAATAACAGTGATCTATTTATTTGAAAAATAAACTTAACCGATTCATAGTAATAAATATTTGTCGTAATGATTACTTATGAAAGACCTTATAATCTAATAGTAATTCACTACTTCCTCATTTCGTTTGTAAAATTATCGATTATCTCTCCGTTTCATACATAATTTAGTTAGTTTATTAAAATAAATTAGATATGATTTCAGTGGTAATTCATTATTTCAATATTCATTAGTTGAATTAAATAATTATAAAGGAATCAAACTACTTTCTAATCATTTAAATTAGTTTAACACTTAAATGTTCTTGATTCCCTTTTTTTGGTAATAAAAGGTTGCATAGAAATGTATCTACTGAATTTACAAGGTTCGGCTCTGAATAAAAATATTTTGTATTTTTCAAAATTATTTAATAATAATGTTAATGAGAAATCTATAACTAAAACTGATGAATAAAGAAACACTGTTACTACTTAAATGATCATTTAGATTTACAGATTAATTCACATATACATTTTAGTAGGAAGGAAGTTTTCATTTGTTAATTAACAATATTTCGAGAAATCTAAGTAACTAGCGGGATCGTGGACGCGCATTGCTGAGGAGTCCCACAATAGGACGAAGCGGCCGTCCAGTGCTTCAAGGTTTCCAACGGTGGTCTAACATCAACCCGTTCATGATCTCAATCAATAACTAGAAAGTACTCTAATCACCATTTTCTGACTTATCACTAGTAAGAAATGATTAAATAATATTATTATAGCCAAGAATAAAACATCTTTGATTCAACATTATTTATTCTCAACGATATTCATTGTTGAAAAGTATAAAAATAAATTAAAACAGATACTCGTCACTTATTCATTTTTAATGATTTTCCAATTGAAGTCATGTTTTCTTTTTCAATTGAATAAATTTATATGAGCAATTTATAGACATTGTTAGTTAGGGTTTTCTAATTTTATGAGATACAGTTGATTGTGTTTACTTAATTTTGTATATTGTTCAATAAAAATCATCGAGTAGTTTGGATTTATTTGATGATGAAGCGTTCAGAAGTGATGTCGACAGTTTTACAAATATATAATCTGTAATCCTATCCTAAATGTTTAGTCTCCTTAAACCATGTGAACGTATAACCATTAAATATAAAATAAACGACTTTTGTTGCTTTGTTCATTTACGACATGAAAGTCTTTCGTAGTTAAAATAATCATAAATGAAATCTAGATTTGTGATTCAGACTGACATATATATATATATATATATATATATATATATATATATATATATGGTTTATCTTTAATTATAAGGGAACTAATTCTGCCAATGGAATTCGAACATATTTAATGTCATTGTCATAATCAGTACGATTAAGCTCTACTAATCCCTATCTTATATCGAATAAAGTATGCTTTACTATCGAGTTACTCATCATTCTGGTGACATCATATGTCAGTAGATTTCGATCAACGCATAACATGATGACATTAGTTACTACCCGATAACTGATCAAAGTTACCTGTAATATCTCATAACGTATTAGTTGTAAATACAACTATATTCATAACATTTTTACTTAAGACCTTAAAGTATTCGTGAATTTTGTTTTACGATTGTACCAAATAAAGGTAAACTCCTTAAATAAAAATGGGTTATTTTATTATTTTATTAATAAGTGAATAGAGATATAAACATCACGAATTGTTATAATGTAATTTCAAAAACTATATCTGACCTTTTCATGGAACATATATAAGAATAGAAAAGTGAACAAAGTATAAAGAATGAAGTGGAAAATGTAGGATAGTTAGTATAAAGTTTATATATCTATATAATGCGTCCTGCTAGTCCATGATGAAAACTGGTTTTTATCTATCGAATTAATGATATATATGAAGTAAACATAATACATTACTAATATATATCATCCGAAAACTATTTTATAAATTATCGACAAATTACCCTTGTTGTTATTTCTAGTCAGCAACACAAACATTCACTTATTGAATAAAATGAATTCATAATTAATTACTTATGGTTAAATAGAGTTCTTTTTTGTTGATATCAATAATGTCATCATTACACTCGGAATTAATTGCATTGGATAGTACTTCATACGCAGTTAAAATATATTTGCCTACTTTCTAATTTATGTTACTAACTAGTTAATAGTAGTCTATGAATTATTCTTCCAATTATTTACCAGGAGTTATTTTTTACGGAAGTGTTTGTCTAGTCTTTGGTCCAATTACATGTGAATTCATTAGTAGTCATTGATGAGAAGTCCTGAATTGGAATTTGATAGTAATTTAAAGCTCTTTGGCTCTTATTGATTTTCCAAATGGAGTTACTTACTCATGAAAAAAATATTTTCAAGTTTATTATTTGAATAATCCTTGAGATTATCCAAACTTTTCTTTCCAAATTACTACAGTGGCCATTAAGTTTTATTGCAAATTTAGAACTAGGATGTTCATTCAAATGGAACTGACGCTATGTAGTTCACCTCTAACAGCACTCAAAACCACTGTATTCACTTCTAGTCTCATCACTTCAATAAGAGATGGGTAATTCCCAGATATATATTCATCTCATACGACAACTTTTAGATTGAATTAGTAACAAATATCGATGTTTTAATTTGCTTGGAATTTATTTTGCCTAATCATATCCTTTTAATTTTTAGGATATTAACAAAATACTGTTTAGCTAATTGATAGTGAACATGTTTGTCAACTGTTACGATCATTTTCATAGTCATTATAATCTATGTCATAAAAAACATTCATTAATCTAGAAATTGAAATAGATACAATTTTGAGGAATACATCTTTCTTGGTTGACTTACATCCTATATATGGTTATTTCGATCTTTCCCATTACAGGGGACATTTCATAAGAATAACTATTCTGCTTATGGTTACATCCATTTAGTGAAATTATGGTTGACAACTTTTCACTTGTTTTCATTATGAAGTAATGGTTTTCAGTCTATCTATTAGATTTATTACGATCAAATGTGGGTTTGAATGGAGAAGAGAAACATTAGACTTAAATACCATTGATTAAAAGAATAGAGCACAATTATTTATCATTGAACACTTCATTAAAGAAATAATTCTAGACGATTACACGAATTAAACTCGGATAAATCAAATAATCATTTTAAATACATCAACGTAGTTCCTTACAAAACGAGTCTTACATATCTCTTAGGTAAGATACACATTGAACTGTTCAGTTTCAAGTCTTTTTCTCCAGGTAACAAATATATCCTTGTACACCTTTTTATCTGGCACTTTTAGTGAATTCATAGTCAGCCACAAGATAAATATAGAGAAAAACAAGTGGATCGTACATGTTGCAAACATCAGGAATGTTAACAAGTGGTTGCTGAGAGATTTTAAAAGCAATAAATATTTCGGAATAGAGCTGTTATCTATTTTGTCAGGCAGGTTGAAAACGTTTATTGTACAGCAAAATAAAAGTAATAGGCACAAGAATACAAACTTGACTTACTAATATTTCAACAACGAAAAATACAAATCGCTTAAACGTCTGGAATTGAAAAAACCATACAACGTTGGTGAAAATAGCTAACATAATTCTGAAGATAACTAGTCACATCATATGTAATGTAATTATTAAATTCATTCAGGGTTGTTTGCTTGAATGTTCCCATTGATTTTTAGGACTGCAATTGATCAGTCACTTATTGGCATATTTGCATCATGTGCGGATTGCCTCGATAGTGCCTTAATTTACAAGCTTTATAAGCAAAAATGGATGGTGGCTAGCGGTGGAATTCGGGATGCGCGTTTCGTCCTATTTGGGACACGTCAGATGGATGTACCTGCATCCCAGAGTTTATGATTACTCTGGAACTCGAACCCAGTGCCGTTCGCTTCAAACGCCATCAAGTTATCCACTTAGCTAATGGTAGTGGGTTCGAGTCTCAGAGTGAACATCAACTCTCGGACAGGTACATTCAACTGACGTGTCCCAAATAGAACGAAACGCGTGTCCTGGATTCCACTGCTAGCCACCATCTATCTTTGCTTATAATATTAGTTATTCTTATTTGAATAATAGACTTAAAATGCAAAACAACTATAAAATCAAGTTGATATAACATCTAGCTGTCAGTAACTATAATTGTTCACTGTGAAAGTAATTTATTCAGAACTGACAGTACCCAAAAAATGATTAGAAATCGGGGGGTATTAGACCTTTATATTAATTTCGTACTACTCAGGAGTATTCAGCAAGAACCCGATAAGAAATCTAATTTATGATCTTAACGACCCTTATAGGTTTAGAACACAAAATTAGAACTCAACAATAGGCATTTCTGACTTCAAACAATAATCATATAGTTAAACATGTATACTGAACCAAAATATTCTATTAAAAATAATAGAAAAAGTCTGTATTCAGCTAAGGACTTGAGTAATTTGTTATTACGGATGAAAATAAATTTATTCATCATTAATTGGTTGAATAAATTAAGAAACGGAATAATTATCTACTCGTCTTAAATGTTATTATAAAATAAATGATCATTTGAAACATGGGAATAACTGATTTGGTAGGAATGGTGGTTTACTGAAGCAATTGAATTTTAATTGTTAACAAAATATATTACAGAAAATTGAACCATTGGCCAAATGACAAATTATCTTAGATCGCAAAACAACTTCTGGTTTTTCACTTCTACCTGTTTATTAGTAATACAAGTAACTATACAACCTTTATTGACTCAGTATTTCTTAGGAGAGTAAACGATTGTTACACTCATCTTTGACGAAACTAGTTTTATGGGATTTGATGAAATTTTCATTAAAGGAATTAATTGGTGAAATTCGGTTATCACTGGCAACTAGACAAACGTTGGTTCTCATTAATCAACCAATGCAAATATTTCAATCTTATCCGAGGTCCGAATAAAATCTTTAACACTTTTAAATGTGACATTATATGACTCGTTAGAATCTCGCGTAAAATGTCAGTTCACGATTGGCTAAACATATACCTTTCTGATGAGTGTGATTTAGAATGACATCTAGGTCCAGGGTTTTTGATTGCCTACAACCAACTAACATCCGATTCATTGAATAAATTTACTTAATTTATCAAAAGTCAATCATGAGCATATAATTGATTTTATTCTTTCATTTGCCATTCGCAGTCTGATGAAAGTGCTAACAAAATATTGTCATCTATAGTTTCAACGAATAATAACCTATTAACAGCTAACGTTTTAAATAAACTACCTAATATAATGATCAGTATGAAAACTGAAGAGATTGACAATCCAGAACCAGAAGCTGGCATTATATCAACACAATCTTGTAGAAATGTGAATAAAGATGATTTTATAAAAGAACAAACAACTACTCATTTGGTTGAACAAATTAAAAGGCAGACCACTCAACAGTATTTTGAAATGAAAAGTAAGTAACTTTGTATTTGTAAAACAAATTGTTTGGAAACTACTTTTAAGTATAAATATGTGAAACTATATCATAAGGATTCAGAAGTGGTAAGAAAAATATACCTATCTAAACCCATATGAATAACTTTTAAAAGTATTATATACAATTGCTGACTAAATCCTAATAGTCTTTTAATTAAAAACATGTGAAGATTTCATATTCATAGAACTGTTTGATAGATTTCCTTATTTATTCCTTATGTCTTTTCTCTTTTATAATACAAGGAGATATAAATGCAAATGAAATGAAAAGAAAAACACTAGTTGAATCAGAGCATCGACAAGAAACTACACGAGTAAAAGATAACAATTTAATTGATTATCTAAAAAGAAGCGATGAGAAAACAACACAAAAGAAAAGTGGGACGAGAATAAGTCATACTCTTCCCACTGGTATGGTTAAATCATATTTACAACAAATGAGTAAAGAATGGGGTACACTTGCTAATGTAATGACAGTAATTCATCAAGCAATTAAACAAGATCAATCAAGTATTTATTTATTGGATAAGTATTTCAAATCAATAAATATTAAAGTTTGTATAATTAACACTATAATTAGTCCTAAATGGACTTTTCTTTATTTAAGTAGTTTAATTGGTAATCCACAAGAATTAATGGAACATATTGACATCATGTTAAACTTAAAAACAACTGTAGATATTATGAATAGTATAAGAACAAAATATGAAGGTTATTTAGGAGACAAACAACATTTAGACTTATTTTTATCTTCATTTAAAACAACAAGAAATATACTACAAAATCATTTAATTAATATAGGCCTACATAAAGAAGAAGCTTATATGATAATATACAAAGCTATTTGTAATGATAATGATGCTAAATGGAAGATTAGCCATTTAATGAATATAAAATTCCCTCAAAAATTAATTGATGCATTAATAACATGCAATAAAAAGAAATTAAAAATTTTAATTCATAAATCCATTCAAAGATCTAAATCATCTTCAAAAATAGTTTCTTTGAATTTATCACCATTAGAAAGATTATTAAATGATGATAATTCTATGAAGGAATTGAATGAAGATAAAATAAAAAAAGGAGTAGTATCCGATACTATTGAACAGCTGAAACATTCAGATATTATACATAATCAGTTACAAACATTGTCTACGGTGACTGAATGTTCAAGTGATGATATTGTACAAACAGAAGTGAAGTCAATTGACATAATAGAAGTAGGTTTATTTATTGTTATGATTGAATATTTCTTTTTTTTTATAATTTTAATTCACTAAATATTATAACAAGTAGATGAGAAGCTATTTTAAACCATCTTTATTGTTTGATAACTGAAATGAAATAGACTTATGAATGGACTTGGTTTGAATTCATCGGTTGTTTGATACTTTTGTATTGAATTTGAACTTAATATCAATTTAGATGTAAAATTTTGTGAAAATGTATCAAGCTTATAGTTTGATTCATTATTAAGTTTAAGATCAAAAACTTGATATATTACTATATATATAGATCTTTTCAACAGGAGCCTATAAGTGAGATGAAAATAATTTGTGTTCCCATGAAAAATGACGGTATCAAATCAATCCTTAGAAAAAGTACATTTTGAGATAACAGAAAATTTTTTTGTGTAGTGAAAATCGATTATAATATGTATACAAATAAACTTTCTAATACACCTTTCTCTCTTATAAAATTTATTGTAAGCAATTCGTTTACATAAAGGCTAATGTACTCTTTACAATAATAAAGAAAATATCTACAGAGCCTGTAATGATTTTATGTCCGGCTTAATGTCACATGATTTATCCACCAATCAAAATACGACCTATACAATCTTAACACTATGCCAAACCAATGACGTTCAACCGATATGAGTAGTCTAGCGTCCTTATTGGTCCTATATCCTCCTAGCCCGTCCGCTTGAGTTCAGAATTCAATACCAGCTTCTGCAATATGAATCGAATTATTTATTTTAAACATACTAGGTTTATATATCAACCAGACAAACCACAACGTACCATAAAATAGAAAATAACATGTGTACACAATAAAGCCAAAAAGTGGCTGTGAATGTAGGAGACAGTAGTTAATAAACTGAACATAGCTTAAGAACCGTAAATCGTACAATAATAAATTATAAATCAAAATAAAGCTTATAATAAGAGGAATATAAATACTCATAATGTACTTATTGAATAATTATACATTAAGAATATTTATAGAATATTAGTCCATTAATAGTCCTTGGAAGTTATACGTAATTTAATCTTCGCTCGAATATAACAGAGTCCATCTTTATTTATTTTCATACGAATATAAATCGTTTTATTTCATTTTAGATTATATCTAGTAGTGAAATTCGAGACAGACATTGTCATTCATTTACGAAGCTTGTTTTTCATGATCTAGAACATAACACCCCTGAAATTTTGATTCTAAAATAAAAATATTCTCAATCATCTGTAAATCATACATGTTAATATTTATCTAAATGGCAGAATAGGTCAACTTTTCAAATAAGAGATTCTAGCAAATAGTAAATAGTTTGAATAAACCTTATTAATTACTTTATGCGTTTATTTGATCAATCTGTACTAATCGTATTAGTAAGTTTTCCATTTTAACTTTGGTCTAGTTTCAAAGGTTACAAGTCAAGTGTCTTTTAGTATTATATCATTTCATTCAGTTGTATTATAAACTCATTCACAACAAAACAAATTAATACCTACTTTAAGTTTTTTACTAGTATAGTAGTATATTAGTTGATGTTAGACACTATCACCATTGGATGCCGGCTCAGTGGTCCAGTAGGTTAAGGGTTCGCGCGCGAGACCGAAGACCCTGGGTTCGAATCCCGTGACTGGGATCGTGGATATGCACTGCTGAGGAGTCCCACAATAGGACGAAACGGCCGTCCAGTGCTTCCAGGTTTCCAACGGTGGTCTAACATCAATCGGTTCATGATCTCAATCAAAAACGTGAGTTTTTCAATTTGATTATCCACATTTACATTAAAGTTGCTTAAAATTGTTAATGCAGATAAGGCTTGAACAAATATACATTCTTTCGTTTCCTGATCAAGATTTTGACTTTCCTTCAACAAAAAAACGATACCATTTAAAAAATATGTTGTTTAGCATAATTCTGAATATGTTTTTTACATTGATCATTCATTTCATATAATATGTAATAACGTAAAAGAAAATTAAACACTTTAGTAAGTTGAGCATGTCATCCTAACTAACTTACAATTATTGTATCAAAATCTAAGATTAACCAACACTGAATATTAAAACAACTAAGAATATTCTATTCATTAAGTTTTACTCTTAAATGTACACGATTTTTGTGATTAGGTCATAGTATGTCTTTTTCTTAAATAAAAAACAAAAAAGTCGAATACTTCAGGAAACGTTTACCTTAAAGAATAATAAATGAAGATATACCACTTAATTGATTGTTATGAACAATTTAGCTGCACTAATATCTATATGCTTTTGAAAATGATGTTCATGAGGAACAGATTGATTTGTTTGGAATATTTTATGATTATCTTATAGTCTGTCAACCTTGAATGAAAATACTACTCAAAAGTCACTTTAAAACTAAATGTCCAGTCTAAGAATAACAAAATTAAGAATCATCAAACAGGCAAAATCTAAAATAAACTCAAGTAGTTTTAATGAAAAAAGTCAAAAGAAGTTTATTTAGAAATAACATGAACGCAAACAGATAAATACAATTAATCTTGTAGACTAATGAATACAAATTTACTAATTATGACTACATTACAACTATGATACGTGTTTAGACTCAGTAGGAATTGAAAACAGTCCACTTTGCCAATTAGTGATCGCCAGTTAGATGTTAACAGTTTAGGAATTGACATCTGAATAATGTTCATTCATTTTATTGCATATTCCTATCCACCACAATGCATCTGATTGTACTTTTTTGTAACTTGTATAGTGATTAATAAAAAAAAATGATGTGCTAAAATGAACGAAAACGGACAACTTGTTGAAGTACCTTGATAGCAGGAACATGTAGCCCGGATATTCAACCAGGTCGCTTAGAATAGTATAGATATTATATCAGAACTGTTTTATTTCCAGTTAAAACAAATATTTCTAAATTGACCAACTGATTGGGTAAAATAATTTAAAATATAGTAAAATTGTTTCACAGTTCAAGTTTCCATCTGAATTAACAATAAATTATAGACTTGAACCAATAGATATACCATTACTTAACTTTGTAGATATAACTGATAGTTCAGCTTAATGTAGATTACTCCAATCATGTATACTGTCTAGATGTTTGAGTATATTTTTTTCTGCAATTGTCTCTATATTCATAATTTTCGATCTACATGAATACCATGAGATTGTAATAAGTTCTCGTAAATATTGATCTTGATTAATTGACGAAAAGCATAAATTATATAGAAACAAAAATCATGACGCTAGTTTGAGATATTTTTGATTGAGAAATATTATGAGTTAATCAGTGTTATATCTAGATGTTTATATTCTTGATATACTACGTGTAACTTGAGCACTTGAACGCTAGAACCCTTCCAAGTCGCAACGAGAAAACAGAAGACTATTAAAAGGAATGTTATTAAAAACAGTGTCAAATTATAGTACAAACCTGTCAGATATTTATAGTTTTTAGTAAAAACGAAATCATTATAGCTATCTAATCCGCACACAGGGGGTTATTAGCATTGTCCAATCGGGAAGCTAAAAGTAGAGATTCTAGAATATTCTTCAAAAAGATGATTGGATGGAATATCTTTGGCTCTTTCTGAAATTCTTAAAGCTTTCTTGAGTTCGCCCGTGGACCGCTCTCACAATCATTACTTGACCACTTTTTATATAAAATATATTTTATAAGGATCTCTTCAATACAATCAGTTAACTAATGATCAACTACTTATAAGTAGGAACCTTTAAGATAGGAGGACCAGAATATATGTGGACTTTTATCTGAACCGATTATTTTAAGTGATGTTTGTTAGGTTAACCAACCGTCACCACATATATTTAATTTTAGAAAGACATCACTTTCTTCGTCTTACTTTCTAGGGATTGATCTTCTACCTGACAATCAAATTAATGAGATCATAAAATCTTTGGTAAATGGGTTATTTGTTACATATGTTACTCACTTCCACTCTAACTATACTCCAAGACCTAGTGTTATTTGGCATAGGAATAAGTTGAAAAAGGGTAGTATTGAACAGATAAAGACGTAAAATACGTTTATGAGCTCATTATTTGTTGGAAAAGGGTATCTCTGTATTTTGGTTCAATTGTACAATGTGGTCCTGATTTCCTTGAAGAATCTGAAACCAGAACAAATAAGCTAACCCGTTCCTTCTCCTTCCAAATTGTCCTGAAGCCGGTATCGGTCAATGTTGAAAACTGACATTACAGTCCTTCATTAATGAACATGAAAATATTATTTTGACTGAAAAATAATATTGACATTTCTTTCTGAACGCAATAAAGCAGTTTGTTTCATTCACCTTAAACCAAAATTTTGATAATTGAACAAATAGTATACTCAACCATCTAGTTTCAATGACCCATTTATATCTAAGTACAAATTTGAAATAAGAAACGGGAACTTGTTGGAATACTTTGTACTGAAAATTCTATATTGAATAAAGCCACTAATAATAATAATAAAAATAAAAATAATAATAATTTGTTAATTATTGTTTACTATTAAAGTCACTTTATAAAATGTTTTCTTTTTATGAATTCACTTATTTCTCTTCATTGTTGCTTACATTTTTTATACAGAACACATTTACATCAATTAATAAGCTTTAGGTAGTTTTAAATTAATTTTGAGTTTATTTAAACAATGCTATCATATTAAATAAATTTTGATCTAATAGTTGAACTCATGAGTTAATTAAAGCTAGACCACCATGAAAAACCTAGAGGCACTGGATGGTCGTTTCGCCTTAGTGTGGGACTCTTCAGCAGTGCGCATCCACGATCCCGCCTTGCGAGATTACAACCCAGGACCTATCAGTCACGCGAGCTAACGCTTACCCTCAATGAACTCATGAATGAACTATTAAATTACTACAATATCTATAAAACTTCTCTCTGATTAAATTCTGATTGTTTGTCAATGTATGTAAAAAGTACTATCTATTTAGGAATACTTATCCAGCTAAGTGATCAAGTACAACTTCACTTAATTTTAAGACTAATGTTTTATTTGTGAAAATGAGTACTATTGCTTTAATTACTTAAACGGTGGTTTAATGTAAATATAGAATGAATTATGTATATGTAATAAACATTAAATTTCATTTATTCTAATAGTGAATAAGTTTCTTATAAATTTATTCAACACTTGAGTTACATAAACTTATTTTCATTAACCGGTACCATATATTATACTTAATTTTACTCAACTTTATCTTCTTGTTTCGTGACAATACATTTTAGTTGAGTAATAACTAATAATTAGTGAAGATATGACGTATATGGGTTAGTGGGGAAGAACAAATTAGGTTAAACATACATTGTGTGACCATAAGTTCTGTTTAATTATAAACATTTGTAAAGTTATGTTTTCATACTGAAAGTAACTTTTAAAACGAGATATGGGATAACAACAATACAATAAACGAGAAGATACAAAAACAATATACATAAAGAAAATATAGTCATCATAAGGTGAATCAGTTATTTACTGTAATCTTGAATGCATGACTTGACAGCTGAATTCAATGCATGACATTTGAACTTATCACAGTGTGAAAGAAGATTGACCAGATGAAAAATACAAAAAGAGAAATAGAATAACAATTCAGTACTTGAGAAATATAGTTTAAAAGAAGGGAACAAAATCTAAGAGCTAAAGTTAGGAATGGTATTTATTAACTAAGTATTCAGAAAAAAGAACGTACATTCTAAATATGATTAAGTTAACGCGATCGATTAATTCATCTATTTATCCAAACAATTATCACACAAATAGCACCGAAACATTCCTATATCAGTCTATAAAATTCTTTAACCCATTTGCTTTTTTTAACAAACTGTAAATACTTTCACTATTCAGAAATGAATACAAGTATATTCAATATTCACATGTAATTTATTTGTTGCGATGGTCATTTGTTAAAATAAAATTTTTTTCTTACATATAAAATCATCTTGTTATCAAATAGCCTTAGATACTAAGTGATTGATTGATTATCTTAATCACTAATATATTTTTTTTAAAAAGGGTATGGAAATTATTGTTGACTTATAATCTGAAATTTTTCTGATACTGGCAGTATTATTAAATAAGATCAAAATAAACTTATTTAGGAAACAGTGAAACAAATCAATCAATTCGACATGAGCAATTTAACTTCAAAGGATACAACAAGACAGGACAATTTTAACATAACTAGAGTATATAAAACACTTGATATAATATTTGAATATGATGAAATGTTTCACGAAAAGAAAGCAGATGAACTAGATGAAATGCAACAAAACAAAATGGAACTTCAAACAAAAGAACTAATCAAATTTAACAAATGGAGACAAACAGACTGCAATAAAATGCCTAATGAAATCTTAAAGATAACAGGATCTTCATCATTTAATGAGAAAGATCTTAGATTATACAAGTATTCAAATAAAGCTTTCCCAACAGATAAAATCAGTGATAAATCTGAAAATTCTGATGAGAATGATGAGTTGTTTGGATCTTCTGGCGACAAACGTATTTGTGAAAATTTAAATATGTCACATAGTAAACATATTAAAAATGATGCTTTAGAAAACAACAAAATGAAAATGTACTTGGTCGAACAACAACGCAGGTCATCACCTCGTAAAAGAACTCCACAGGGTCAAATGAAAATAAAAGAATTTCTTTCAAATTCTATAGAATTTTCAGCAAAGCAAGTTAAAGAATTGTCAAAGGTACCTTTCCCATCTTTAAGTTTGGAAAGTCTTGAATTATCTTACCGCGATTCAGTGAGACCAACAAAAAATGGCAGAAATCTTGCAGTATTAAAGAGGTAAGCAGTTGATTTGATAGGGTACAGACTGAACTTTTATTCGCGATTCCTAATAACTGATTATCTCATATGTTATCAGTTATGGGCTGTAAATGGATCTAATATAAATCAATTACTTACTGTTGCCTGACTGTTTTTAATCAAAAATGTCTATTTATGGACACAACACTCAATTACAAGTATTGTTTAACAGCTAGATGAAAGTCTCTGAAGGACCCAGCGTAAGTGAGACTGCTTTTACTTAATGTGCGCTATAACGAAACCATCAATGACTGGAAAACCACATAACAATAGTAGGTGGACCAGTTAAAAGGTTGTAACGAAAAGAATTAAATGAAATTTTTCGCTTTCTCTTAGGAATATTAGTTTTACAGTAAGTGATTCCAGGATTTCTCTGAATGCATAATTAAGGAAGAGTTAAGTTTGTCACGGAATGCTTCACATTGATACTGTACTTTTGTAAGGTCAACAGCACAGGCAAGAATTCTCAGTTTAAAACCGATCAACCAGGAATAACAATAACTTAAGAACCAAACGATGTATTAGATATGATTTCACTAAGTTACTGCGATAGGAAATCCTAACCCTTACACTGTAGTGAAAGGTGTGGTTGTAAGAATGTTAACATTAATCATCAAGGAAGATCTTGGTATCTTGTTAACGTAGAAGTGCGACATTCAGGATTGTTTCTAAGGATGGCGGATATGATTTGTAGTTCATGTGGATGATTTTGACGGAGTTTTGTTCTTTTAGCTGGATGGTTTGGTCGTGGAGCCTTCATCGTTCTTCTGAACAACATCATCAGCACAAACGTCAGGTAGGAGCGGAGTGTTCTCATTTCTCCACACATGACTCATAGCTTGTTCTGTAAGCCTCGATCATGATTGAAGTCAATTACAGTAGACAAGATTCATCTGTTAACATTTTCCAACGGGATTAACCCAACTAAAGTGAGCAAGGATGAATGAACAATAACGGTTAAAATTTAGAAAATCATTAATTTGTAGATTATAATTAATCAATTTTATCTCAAAAAGGCTAAGATATTTGCATTGATTTATTGTAGAAATATAATGGCTAATGAAACTACTAAAATGTTAATTAGCAGCAAAAACAGTCTCAATAAACAAAGGACACCAAAAAAAGAGGGAGTCAATGTAATTAAAGCCCAATACTTTACAAACTATAAAGAAAATATGATGAATAATAGACAGCATCTTCTTAAAAGCACATCATTTAATTTAGCAAACAGTATAATAAATAAACACGGTTTTGTGAAAGGTAGTTTGACAAGTAGAAGTGAAGAGTCTTTATTTGAAACAGCTTTATCTACAAAAACAGGCCCAATAAACCCGGGATTACTTCCACCAACAATTGTACAGATACTACCTAAAATAAGGGAATTGAGAAAGCAGGAAAACTTCAGTCGAACTCCAACGTTCACGAATTTGTTAATGAACTTTCCGTGTACAAAATCAAAACAAATTAAACGGCAAAATTCAGAATTTGATTTTTTAGTTAAAACGTCATATAAATTGCCTTCATTACATAATAAGGTAGAACAAGAAAAGAGAAAATTAGAGGTGAATAAAATGAAAATAACAAATAAACTTTGGTATAGAAAACAAATTTCAGAAACTTCAAACATTCAGGTAGAGCCTTCACTAACTATCACGTCTCTTTCAAAAATGGGATCAATTTCGACAATACAACCAACTTCGTCAATTACTTCACGATCTACTTATCAAGTAATTCCGCAAAAACCTCATAAAACACAGGAAAAAGCAATAAAACCGTCAGAAAATCCATTAGATTTAGATATCAGGAACTTTGATTTGAATTTCGATACACAAAACTTTTTACAGTGGTTTGGCAAAGTTCTAGAGGCAAACGTTATTTCATCATATAAGCGAGAAGATTTAATGACAACACTTAAACTGGAAAAAGATAGAATATCAACGTTAAATCCATTGTGTGTTAACCAAGGAATACTAAAGCAACCACATTTTGAACCAATGTTTAGACAAATATTACTCATGGAATTAAGTAATTCACTATCTATCAAAAGAAAACAATCTAAGAATAAGAAATCATTTACTTTGCCAATAATTGATATCCCAACACGAAATGTATCTTATCAGACATCAACTTCAAAATATATGGTCAAGAAGCAAGAGAATTTCCTAGTTCATAATGTAAACATGCCTCTTGATGATTTGTATAAAAATTTTAATTATTCACAAGATAAACTGTCATTAAAAGAATTAACGAAAATCAAAACTGATCGTAAAAATACTTCAAACGCAATAAACTTGTAAGTTGTGTTGATATAAATTTTTTTTTGATTGAGATCATGAACCGATTGATGTTAGACCACCGTTGGAAACCTGTAGGCACTGGACAGTCGTTTCGTCCTATTTTGCGCTGTGCTGAGGAGTCTTAAAATAGGACAAAACGGCCGTCCAGTGCTTCCAGGTTTCTAACGCTGGTCTAACATCAATCGGTTCATGATCTCAATCAAAAACTTAATAATCTCTACAACCCTATACTGATATAAATTAGTTGAAAAATTAATTGTGTAAGTAATTTACTTCTGGGTTTTTTTTTGGTAAACAATGCAAACAAAGGAAACACTTTAAATCTTATTCATTCTTATTTATTTTAATTAATATCCCTGGTAATTTATAACTTGAAACTATACTGGAAGTTACCTGCTTTTTATAATTTCTAGGGTGATTTTATTCTAAAAGATTTCAGTATTAAAAGAAACGAACAATCATATTTATTGCTGTAAACCAGAATTAATGAGTTTTACAACCTATCAAGGTTACATAACAAGATCATATATATTTCATACATTTATTTCCTGTTTTTATGAAGTGAATAAAGGGAATAAGAATAGTGTTTTAAGAAGAATAACATAAACTTATTTTCATTTTAAAATTACAAATGAAGTTTATTATATTTTTATATAAATAAAGTTAGTCAAAAGTTGATGTATAGTTTATTCCACAGTCATATTGAGAGAGTAATATATGTAAAGTAGAGTATTGGACTCGAACTTAGTGACAGAGTAATGTAGTATTTAGTTAAAGTTACAAAACAATGACTTTACAATCCATTGAGAGAACAACTATTAGTTTCATAGAGACAGTCTTTTAAAAACACACAAGTGTTTTATTATCATATTTGGAATCGAGTGAATACTCATGAAAAACATATGCTCACTAGTGACTGGCTTCAAGATGTATATCCTGGAGCTCTAATGAGAAGCAGTGACCAGTGGAGTTCAACCGGGTCAGTTGTAAGTTAGTAACTCACTGATGACAATGGTGGATGTGTCGCTCAATGTCGTGGATTAGTTGAATTTAAACATTAACACCGTTGGATGCCGTCTCAGTGGTCTACTGGTTAAGTGGTCGTGCGCGAGATCAGTAGGTCCTGAGTTCGAATCCCGCGAGGCGGGATCATGAATGCGCACTGCCGAGGAGTCCCGTACTAGAACGAAACTGCCGTCCAGTGCTTACAGGTTATTGTTGGTGATCTAGCTTCGAGTGACTCATGATCTAAACTATTAATATTTAGATTTGTACAGATATTTATTACGAATAAAGTTAGGATAATTCAATAATGTAAATAAAATCTCAATAAATAATATGAATGGCAAAAATCAAAATACAAATAAAGTAATTGGTATATATAATAACCATGTAATAATGATTATTTAATCAACTAACACTGCATGTAGATTTTAAACGAATATAAGCCATTTCACTTCATATACATAAAAAGTCACCCATTACTGTGATTATAACCATTGATAATAAATTAACAATCCATCAAAAATTAAGATTGTGGAAAACTATACGAATACATAATGCAAAATATAAAATGTCAGAAATGTACAGTACATATAATGTAACAAATATTGTTAAAATCTAAGCAAATTATAAATATTTAATAAAATGAATTCACTTGGTATTGTTTACTTGAATCTTCTCATTGATGTTTAGGACTGCAATTGATCAGTCTCTTATTGGCATATTTGCATATTGCCTGGGTTTCAGTGCCAGCTGATGAATCCGAAATAAGACGAAACGCGCGTCCTTGATTCCACTGCTAGACACTATCCAATTTTGCATATAATTTTATTAATAAGATGTTCTAGATGAAGATAATATTCAGTTTGTGATGTTAATTTTTTGATTCTTGTTAGCTTGTGTTTATTTACTATAATATTGCCTAAATACTTTATTAAAATCTTCCAAATGATATGGGACTGTAATATCTTATTCAATCTTTTTTAATTCTATTCAGACTCTAAACATCTTTGTTACACTATACAAATATATGTTAACATTTACTTTAGCCCAAGTTTATTGTTATAAAATCGTGATCGATTTCTCGTGTAGTTGTGTTCTCTGTGATGGATAGTTCAATCACGAAGCTTTCGTTGCCTTTCCAGACAACATCATTAGCATGAACTTAAGATGAAACACAATTTATTTAAACTAAATTAGGAGTTGTAATTACGACTAAATAGAAAAACAATTTATCGAGTTTCAATTTTACAAAAGTCTCAGTTCAAATGTATGAATGATCTAAAGTGCAAAATGTGTTGCTATATGAAATATCAGATTCATTAAACCCTTACAACCAACTTATCAGTTTGACCATAAGTCAAATCTAAATAATGATTCCCTACGCCAATAATAAATATTTATAACGATCTTTTAGTTTCAAAACTTGTAAATCACAGCTTAATTAAACCAGTACTACTGATTTTCTCAATTTCTACACATTTTTATTAGCCAACTAATTATGTATATCGACAGGGTAAAGTAGTAATGAGGTTATGTAAGATGCTTACAACTTATCATTGAGACCACATGTTAAAAACCCACACTGAGACACTCCATTGATTGATGTGTTTCTCTTTACCGATCAGTCGGAGAAACGAGCCGAAATGACATCGGGATTCTTGCATGTAAAGTCAATTATATTTGATATAGAATATGGCAAGAGTTAACGTTATCAAAGTTCATAAGACTTTCGGCGGCCTGCTTGAGCATCTGGGCTACCTGTTCCTGTCATCTAGATATTTCAACAAGTTATCTATTTTTGTTTGTTTTAATATATCATTATGTTTATTAATCGCACAACCTATTCTGCTGCGTTTCTGAAAAGTGTACAACCTTTCGTTGTCAAAGTTACAAACAACTCAATAAAAGATAATGTGGTTGCTGGCAATATACAACCAAAAGAATGCATATTATTCAGATGTTCATCTAGTGAACTGCTAACATCTAACTGGCGATCACTCAATATTTATCGCCAGGACCGACGAAGAAGAAAGAAACGGAAACTTGTTGAAATACTTTACGCTGAGAATTCTATATTGTACCAAAAATATAATATTGAATAAAGCTGATAATAATAATAATAATAATAATAATATAAAGCGCAATATAATTCATAAAACACCATACAAGGAGCAATGTCGAGACGGGAGATACATACACAATTTGTGTAAAAATCTAGAATCCTGAATATGTTACTTATTATTAAAATGCACTGTAATAATTAAGTGTGAAAAAACTATTGTAAATAACTATTAAGGTTATTTTATTTAATATTTTCTTGGTATTTTTTTAATTAAGAAAGAATGTACGGGTGTAATGACAGGACGTATGAAGGATCAAAAGCGTTTCATGTGAATTCAGAACAACATAAGATATCAGATAAACGAACTAATCTACCTAGAATAGAATCACATACCTGTCACCCAGTACATGAAAAGTTTCACTGTCGTTATGAAGCACTGGCGAGAAAAAAATATCAGAGTTTAGGTCTCTCAATTTCCAATCACATTACTTGGATGGATTTAATTCAAGAATGTGTGCACAAACCAACTCAACAAAAAAGTAAGCGAAATAACTTTTTCTGAAGTTTTCCTTTATGTATGTGTGTACACATATATAATTTTATGGGCGTACATATTGTCACCTTGATAGAGAGTTTAGGAAAGTCACAAAAAGATGTGGAATGAGTTTAAGAATCCAGAGGCTACTTTTAAAGGCACTATAAATATGGATTCAGCAGTTATCAGATGCTTGAATAAAGTTGTTAGAATAGGTCTACATAAGCTCTCACGCAATATTGTATTCCTAAATTGTCACTATCCAAAAGAATAAAACAATAGCAGACCCGATAAAACCAATTGAAACAAGCGGCAATTCTGATCAGACAGCTAATTTTAGACCGCCTGAAGCCAAAAGCGTATGTGAACACTGGACTATTTTCTCACTAGATGGAATATCAGACTGACTAGTGAAGTATATTTGTGTACGCAAGAACTTTCAAATCAGTTGACCTAATAAATCAAGATCATGTCTAAGGCAGGAAAGCTAATGGGATATCGAAGCTAAAACCAAGTCCTCATGTCCACCAGTCTAGTCAGTTGCACCTTCAAAAGGTTTCGTAAGGAATGTCAATCCAAAATTTAGGGACAAAATTCACAAAGACCGCCGACTGCATTATTGGGTGATTTCTTTATTATGGTACTGCCTAATCCCTTTTATCATACTTCTTAAAGGTTAAGACCGGCGATACATCACATACGAATCAATCCTAACTTCTTTTTCGCATTTGTGACAAAACAGGATGGTGGTTACCGCATCCAACTTTCAGTCGTTGAGTTGCAGATTCGTACACAACTATACCTATTTTGATTTAGATAGGTGAGAAGTATCACCAGACCTCACGTAGAAAGGTGAGACAAAGTCAGCTGCACAGACTTGAGTTTGGTTGTTCAGTTGGATTGATTTCAGTCAGCAAAAGGAAACACGTATCATGGAAGAAAAATCGAAATGTTAAAACAGCAGTACTGTGTGAACGGTGTTAAAGATATTGAGGAACTATCAAATTGTGGCCTATTGACATCGGTCGTATAAAGATGATAATACTGCATGTAGTAGTCAAAGAATTATTTATCTTAGTTATTAGACATGTGCTGGGAAATAAAGTATTATCAAATCAGCCCGCGAAGGTATTTACAAATAGGTTGGAAATGACAATGGGAAACACCCTGGTTTTACTTGGAATTGGTTTCACTAGTGTGATCTATCTTTGACTTCTGAAGCACAATTTTTGGTGAGAGCTATTTTTATGAGATTGAAAACGAGAGCTATATATTATCACACAAAACAAGTCAATTAGGACAGATACAAATGAACATTGGGTCAGAAAAACCCACTAAACACATACCCTTTATACGGAGGTCAAGTTGACTAATAAGCGCCTAAAGACAATTATACCCTGTGATAGACTTTTTCTTCTACATATTGAAGAGGTAATGACTAGACTTCCTTATGCAAAGTGCTTTCCAATACAGAAGTGTCTTCTAACTGCTTCATATATATCGCGAAGAAGTAAACGAACATTTGGTCGGTTTATGTGAGATGAAACATATTAAATATCAAATACAGGATTGCCGTCTGGAACAGATAGTTGCCGAATTCGGAATGTATTTACACTTTGTTTTTCTAAAGCAATTGAGTATGATTTCCTAAAACATTGGATAGCATATACAAAAACCTTGTCGATGTATGATCGAGCAATCAATGTATAAATTGTGAGTAGGTGATTGACTAGAATGATATAGTAAGCAACAGTATCGCACAGTTCTGTCACTTTATTGGATAATGAAAGAACAAGTTATTTCCCCAAAATGAGGTAAAAGAGAACAGACACATAATAAATAATGTATTCACGTTTAGTTCGATCATTAAAGCGTAAATCTATTGACGACAATAATTTGCAATTCCATATAACGATTCTTCTGAACACTGGTTTCTGCAGTCTTAAAGATTCTACACAATGATCCTAAATATAGGGACTGGTGTGATTTATGGAGTTGAACAGTCTAAAAAGCCTTTCATCGATTGTACAATTATCTGCGAAAGATTATATTAGCGTTGACTGTGAGTATTCTCCCTGTATCAAGTCCTAAATTACTGTCAACTTGATAGATATTTATACGTATTTCGTTCTCATAATTGGATTAAAGCATTAAAAACTATTATTCGTGTATAAACATATAACATTACTCATTTTATTTGGTAAATCAAAGAATCTGTGGCTTAATTGGACAACGGCAGTTTTATAACATAAATTATTTTATTTTTTCAAATGAATATTCGTTTATTGATTTTCATTAACAAAAGCAAATAAATAAAATAAAGATTGAGTTACAAATAAAAAAGTATAGAAAGTTTGCAACCCCATCGATAATTAATGAAATAAAACAGTCAAAAATCATGAGCAGAAGTTAAACTTTTTTGTCCTTTATTTTTTGTTATTTGTCTAGCATCGAGTTAGGTGATTCTTGAAACTCAGAAGTACATGTTCCACAACTTTTAGTGGACTTGGATAACTGAAAATGGGAAAAAGCATTAGAATATTAAGGTGTTCAATATAAATATTCTCATTCCGAGCGTTGCATGAAGAAAGAAGTGTATTTATTGATTCAAATTAAAAGTGGTGATATGTAAATTACTTCATTGTATAATATTTACCTACATATATAGGTTCATTTCTAAAGTAATGCCACTACTACATTATAACAATAAAACACACTAAACAGAATTTTCTAGGGCTTACTTGCAACAAGTTAACATTACTCTAGCACATATATAAATGTAGAATTACCGTCAAATTTACAGCACAATCAAGTTGACGTTGCGTTTAAACTCAAACATCAGTATTTCGTGAAGACTATTTGATGTCTAATACAATAACTAGCAATTTCATCTATTAGACTTGACATTACCTCAGTAGAGTACAATTACCAGTTTAATGAGAAAGTACCTTATGTGCTCCCATTTTTCTTTCTGATAAAAAAGTTGTGGAACATACCTTGGTATTGCCATGATCAACTTGATCAAAACAACGTAACGAAGTAAATCCCATTCTTATTAGCAGTTCCTAAGATGGTATTCGGAACTAAAGCTCATCAAGTTATATAGCAAGGGCTAACCTGGTGTTTTTTCAGTTTATTTATTCGAAAATATAAATATTGGTACAAAGGGGCAACGAATACATATGCGCCACACAAGTTACTTGATTTGTGTATGGGCTGTGATACTGCCTGTGTGTCCAGACCGAAGCAAGTGGTTTTCTTAGGAGGCTACACCCGGAGCCTTCGACCTATAGGTATGATCCACAAGGCAGTGGAGTAACATCAGGAGATGCAGTCCCATTTGTTCTCTCAGAATGCTGGAGCCCATGTGCACCATTGGTTTGGAATCAGGGTTTTCCAACTCCCCTAGGTGGATCCTCCATATGCACCAACCCGGTTAAAGCGCCAGACATTCGCTTTTCGTTTCCTCAATTTCGTAAACAACACCCTCGACGCGAGAAGGCAGTGAGTAGGACTTCCCTGGCAGTGGCTGTATACTCGCGGCCATGTTAAAGCATTTCGAGAGGAAGAGCCGACTCTCCCCAACCTCGGCCGCACTAGGTATCATGTTGCAAAACCCCCAATTCAACTCTGGGAATAGTTTTTGAAAAGGATAGAATCCTAGACTTACATTTATAAAATCACTAGCCAACGTAATAGCCAATTACTTAGAGACGCTAAGACACAGCTCCTCTCATGAAACTGAGAGAGGAAGTTAGCTGATGGGCTGTTTTTAAATTCCTTTGATTTAGGATCATATAACTACTTAGAAGCATTAAAATCACATACTGCTCGAGTCACAAAATTACACAACACGTAGATTATTATAAGACCTTGACAAATGTGCAATTTCAGTAGTTTTCTGCCTTTCATCAACTATCGATTATTATGGAAACACATCGCTAATATATATATATATCTATTTAATTAACCTGTGAGACTACAGTTGGAAGTTTCCCTAATGCACTCATCAAGGTTAAGGTTCTGAAGTACTTTTTCTCCTAACCAACCCTAATATATGTAATCTGTTCAAGGCTGTTCTTAAGCAACACTTCGACAGAGTATCAGTTTGTTTCGAATGCCCTAACAACACATCGTGCGAGGTTATCGTAAAATATTTTCCCACACGTTATAACTGAGGCTTTTAAAATACACTATAAGTACCTGATATACAAAGTGTGAGATTGAAACACTTGGTTATATTGTCATAGGATGAATACACCAAACACTGTTTGAGTACTGAAGGGTACAGGACTGAAAAAAGGGGTCCTGGTGCAAATGATTTGATTGGCGCAACCTATATACACAACCAAACTGTGTGGGCAACAAAATAGCCCGCTTTTTATTACTGTCTGTACGACCTAGTTAAGTAGTGATGGACCAACATATCCCAGTTCTATGCAGACTGTTAGCAGGTCACTGCCTGTGACCCTGCGACAATGACTGGTTTGTAGCAGGACAATCAGATTACTCAAAAGCAATAATTCTCGCCTATCCAGATATTTAAGCACCTTTTCAAGAAAAGACAGCTAAAATGTATCTTGGGATAGATACACTAGTGGCTAAATACAATACTTACTTACTTACTTACGCCTGTTACTCCCAAAGGAGCATAGGCCGCTGACCAGCATTCTCCAACCCACTCTGTCCTGGGCCTTCTTTTCTAGTTCCATCCAATTCTTGTTCATTTTTGTCATGTCTATCTCCATTTCTCGGCGTAATGTGTTCTTTGGTCTTCCTCTTTTCCTTTGACCTTCAGGATTCCATGTGAGGGCTTGTCTTGTGACGCAGTTGGGTGCTTTCCTCAGTGTGTGTCCTATCCACTTCCAGCGCTTCTTCCTGATTTCTTCCTCCACTGGGATCTGGTTTGTTCTCTCCCACAGTACGTTGTTGCTAATAGTGTCCGGCCAATGGATCTGAAGTATTTTGCGTAGACAATTGTTGATAAACACCTGTATTTTCTGGATGATGGCTTTTGTAGTTCTCCAGGTTTCTGCCCCATATAGTAGAACTGTCTTGACATTTGTATTGAAAATCCTGACCTTGGTGTTGGTTGACAGTTGCTTTGAGTTCCAGATGTTCCTCAGTTGTAAATATGCTGCTCTTGCTTTGCCGATCCGCGCCCTCACATCTGCATCAGATCCACCCTGTTCATCAATGATGCTGCCCAAATACGTAAAGGTTTTTACATCTTCCAAATCTTCTCCTTCAAGTGTGATTGGATTGGTGCATGCTGTGTTGTATCGGAGAATCTTGCTTTTCCCTTTGTGTATATTGAGACCTATTGCTGCTGAGGCTGCTGCCACACTGTTTGTCTTCTCCTGCATCTGTTGTTGCGTTTGGGATAGAAGGGCCAGATCGTCTGCGAAGTCTAGATCATCCAACTGCATCTTAGATGTCCATTGTATCCCGCGCTTTCCTTCAGATGTTGACGTCTTCATGATCCAGTCGATCACCAGGAGAAAGAGAAAGGGTGAGAGTAAGCAACCTTGCCTAACACCGGTCTTCACTTTGAACGACTTTGTCAACTGTCCTCCATGCACGATTTTGCAGTGTAATCCATCATATGAGTTCTGTATGATATTGACTATCTTCTGAGGCACGCCGTAGTGTCGAAGGCTAAATACAATACCTAACAATAAATTCGTTATCTGGTGGTTCGAGTAAACTTACACCGTAGACTGCCAGAAAAAGTTTTTAAGTGTCGATTGTAGCATGTATTTCTTTGTTCAGTATTGAAAATCAAATACACAAGAGTGCACTGTCATGACTTAAGAAATGGGAAACGATAGTGTAGAAGTGGGGTATAAAAAGAATTAATGTACTAAACTATAAGTATCCTCGAAGCATTGTTCGCACTTATTGGGATCAGTGGATTGAACTTGCTAAGTGGTTTCAAAAAATGTACGTTAATCTT